TCCAACGCTTCAGTCGATCCTGATTACGGCTGCCAGACTCATTTACCTTTCCAACCGCCCCCCTCTGCCAATCCCTCCACAGGCTTCCGATTGCGCAACGGATCAAATTCAAAATCCTAACACTGACGTACAAAGCTGTCCACCATACTGCCCCAAACTACATCACTGACCTAATATCCAAGTACCACCCAGCACGCACACTCCGCTCCTCACAAGACCTCCTTCTCTCTAGTTCCCTGGTCTCCTCCTCCCATGCCCGCCTCCAGGACTTCTCTAGGGTGTCACCCATCCTCTGGAACTCCGTGCCCCAACCCATCAGATTATCACCTACTCTCCTCTCCTTTAGGCGCACCCTGAAAATCCATATCTTCAGGGAAGCCTACCCCACCCCCTGCTAATTTGCCGACCTCCTCCACTCTTCCTACCACTCCATCCCCCACAGCTATCTCCTCCTGTACCACTATCCCTCCCTCCTAGATTGTAAGCTCGAAAGAGCAGGGCCCTCAATCCCCTCATGTTTTGCATTGTATTGGTATTGTTCTGTCACATGTTCTGTCCCCCTTTGCAATGTACAGCACTGAGCGAACTATTGGCGCTTTATAAATACTGTATAATAATAATAATAATAATTTACAGTACTTCCCATGACATGTTTCCTTTAAGATGCTGATGTCTTTTCAAAAGTATGCATTCTTTTCATGGGCATCATTTGGCAGAAAAGTAAATATGTCTAAAGTGCTCAGCTTTTCCTAAAATTCTGTAGTTGATTAAAGTATTCCCAATTAGCTTTAGGCAATCTTGACATGTTAACAAAAAAGTGGTTCCACCTCTCAAATTCTTAAGTCACTGTTAACTTTTTCGGAGGGTCAGAGGATGGAACCAGGGGACACAGGTATCTGGTAATGCCGGAATTTGAATGCCAAGGAGACTGGTGGAGGCTACAATGCTGTAACAAAGTCTAGATAGGAGATATTGCCCAACAAAGAGGTGAGTATAATACCTTCTCTTGCAGAGTCCTCTTTTTAACATGACATGGTCTCTTTGAAGCTATAAAGTTGGAAAGGGCCAGGATATAGAAAAGGAAGCTAAGATAAAGGGAAAAAGATGAGAAAGGGAAATTAAAGAGAAATAAGGGAAGAATAAAGTAAGAGGGAAAGGAAGAAAAGGACATAGAAAAAGGAAAAGAAAGTAAAAAAGAAGGAAGAAATGTTAAGGAAAAGTGAAAGAAATGAGAAAGAAAAGGTGCTTAAAATAAAACTAAACTGAGAAGCAAAAGATAAAAAATGGAAAAAGATAGGAACAAAAAAGGTCAAGAAATGGAAAACAAATTAAAAAATGGCTGCAGAGTGGAAAGGAAAGGTAAGGAAACAGTTACAAAAATCTCGTAAAATGTTAGTGATTTTTTTGTCTTTGCTGGAATTGTCTTTTAATAAGTCACAGTACACAGACAAAACAAAGGTTACATAATAGATGAGACACTGGATGTCAAGAACACAGACTAGGGCTTCTGTTACATTTACAGACATTTTAATGCTCCCCCAATGGAAATGTCATCAGAGCAGTGGACCTGGAGGAATTTTGTGGCCAGAAGCAAGTTCCACAATTTGGCATCAAACTTGATGCAAATCAGCTCCCCTTGTTGTGTTGGAGCAGTAAGATGAAAGTTTGAAAAGATGAAAGAGTTAGCATGAGAGATGATATTAAAACAAGTAGTTTTAACAAGGCCTTTCACACAAATGTGGTATCTTGTTTTCAGGCGACTTAAAAGATTGCCTAAAGGGCTAGCAAAGCTCCTTCTTTATCTACATATTGAAGTAATTGAATTACTTTAGTACGTTTCCAAAACTTTACATAAAATGGGCATTTACTTTTGATGCAGAATGCCTGCTTAATATACGAGATTGCTGAGCTTTGTATGACAGTATGATAGCATTTGTAATGAAATTTTGGTCAAATAACATGATTACTATGATACATTTTTCTACTGTTTGCATTTGAGCATAGAGGTTCACTAAGATTTCAATACAGGTGAAAAAAAATGCAGGATTTACACTTGTGCACTATATTATTAGATTACGGCAGGGTGTATGTTTTGACCATTGTGTTATCTTACATGTTATATGCCTACAATGGTAGGCATGCACACACACAATGCTTGCAAACTAACCTAATCACAGTATAGCCATGTGAAATATCTAATTACAGTGGACCATTCAATAACTTGACATACATAAATGCTTTTCTGACATGTCACAATATACAACAATTGTGCATGTGTAAGCAATGGTTAGTACCCCTTTTAGGGAATCCTCTTCCCTGGGAGCACATAGTGGTTGGGTCTAGTCTGTCCTTTACAATCTACATCCGGAAGAACCTGGGGCAGAAGGTGATGGCAAAAGGCCTTACTTAGTACACTGATTTGTAAGGTTGTAGCCTTAGGAAGTGTACCTTTTGGGGTAGGCCTGTAACAGGCTCAATTGGAGAACCCACTTATGGGGGAACCTTAAGAGAGGACAAGGGAAGAGTTTGGCAGCATTCTAATGGTAACAATGGATTTGTACTGTGCAGAGTTATTGATGCTGGGACTGAAAGAGTAAAGGTGAAGGTGGTGCTGTTGGAGAGTTGTTTATTTATTGTTTATTTATTTCAGGTACTTATATAGCACTGTCAATTTATGCAGTGCTTTACATATATATTGCACATTCACATCAGTCACTAACCCTCAAGGGGCGTACAATCTATATTCTTCTGCTACAGTAAGCTTGTTGAAAAGCTGGACATGTAGAAATTCCTTGTTTCTGGAGGTGGACCTCAGGTCTGGACAATGTGTGTGATGAAAGCCTGAGCTTCTTCAAGCAGAAGAGTGGAGGGTCCCTATCCAGCAAGGTGGTTGCTGATGACAAATCAGGGCCCTGATATCATGTCTGTATGTATGCATGTGTGTATAATCGTATTATTTTTTTTTTTTAAATCTTACCTTTTATCATTAACCACTGTCTGACCACCAGTAGTACATTCACTGCTGGTGAGCGGGTCCACCAGAAAATGCTATGTAATCGTAGGTCAGGATGAACTTCCTGGTTTAGAGGCACTTGCTCCCCTTGCTGAACTGTACTGTCATTGGACACAGCACAAGTTTGTCAGCAGATTACAGCCAATGATTTTGGCTACATACCTGCTGATCAGCTGTGACCAATCACAGCACAAAGATCAGTGTATTTGTAAACAAAACACATAGATTCTGGTTGGATTTCCCTCTGCTTTTAGTTATTGTTCAGAACTAAAAGCAGGGAGAAACCAACAGCCAGATCTGCAAGTAAAAGCAGCACACATACACTTGCATACACTTAGTTAGGCACACAGTTAACTCCTTGATTTTCCTCCTGATCACCCCTGAAACCCAGCCAGTGTCATTAGTACAGTGTACAATATTATCTCTGATCACTGTATTAGTGTCACTAGCGACGTCAGTGTCAGTTAGTCAATTTATATCCCTCCCAGCCAGTGTCAGTGTCAGATTGCCTGTCACACTATCATAGTCATACTATAAGTCGCTGATCACCACCATTACTAGTATAGTGTTTGTATTGATCAGTATCTTGATCAAGATCAGAACTTTACTAGTGTCCCCAATAGTATAGTGTCCTCAAAAATGCAGTTTGTTATTACCAAAGCCTTGTATCATAAAACATTTTGGCCTACATTTATGAAGAAATTAGATTTTATTGGATATGTTTTATAACAGAAAGAAGAAAATATTTTTTGTTTTTTCAAAAATTTAATTTATTTTTGTTTATAAAATAAAAAATAAAAAAACAGGGTGATCAAATACCATCATAAGAAAGCTCTATTTGTGTATAAAAATATATATATAAATTTCATTTTGGTACAGATTTGCATGACCGAACAATTGCCAGTTAAAGTAGCACAATGCTGAATAGCAAAAAAATGCCCTGGTCATGGGCAAGAGGGTAATACCTTCCAGAGGTCAAGTGGTTAAAAATCCATCATTGAGCTTCAGTTCAATTCCTTTGCATAGGCTAAAATTATATTTTCAGTTTGTTTTAGGCAGGTGGAAGCATTTCCACGGTCTGCACCCCCAGTGATCTGACTGCAACAGTTGCAGTGTGAGTCACAAGCTAAGAGGCTGCAGCAAGGGCTGGCATGCGTCAAATATTTGTGAACAAAATAGATGCTGGTCCATGAATAAGGCCTTAACAAAGATGTCATGAATTCTCTTAACAAAAAAGCAAATTCTTCCATCTGAAATTTTTTAAAAATGGAAAGTGGTTGGGCTTTAAAAAAATCACTTGTTCTATCGAAGGGAACTTAACCTGTCTCTAGCTGCAGTGATGTCTGCTGTGCTGCTTAAATGTTGTGTGAGTATTTTGGCATGCCGACTGTGTCATGTTAGAGAGATTTCCTTTCACTTTCTGTTCCAAAGTCACAAAAGGGAGCAAAAGCAATCCCCTTTTCAAAGATTTATCCTCACCTATTGTTCCAGTGGCAAACATAAAAAATGTGGATTTTCTCATCTTGACAAATGGAGAATATACATTTATATTCAATTTCCAGAGGAAACACCGATTGCAATAAAAACCTTCCTTATTTTCTAGAACTATTGACTGCAACTAAAGAGGCCAGAACTGGAATTCCTGGGAAAAATATAAATCATTAAAATGGTACTAAAGGCACCGTACAATAAAATTTAACATATATGAAGAAGTTTGTCACTAGCATTAACAAAGCAATATTTGTTTTTTTCTGAGTTCCCCGTGTGGTGGGGGTTAAGATAACTATGGAACTGACACAGGGGCGGACTGACAACTCATGGGGCCCCCGGGCAATAGGGGATCATGTGGCCCCTGTGTCCTTGCCCAAACTCAAAAAAACCTATGAAAAAGGTACCAAGGGCATCTCATGGGGCCCCCTACTGACCCCGGGCCCTTGGGCAGTGCCCGAGTTTTCAAATGGTCAGTCTGCCCCTGAACTGACATGACCCCGACTATGCTTGTCCTTTCCACCCAGCTCAGTCCTTCATAAAAGCTGTACTGCAGCTTCTTTGAATGGAAATCAATCAATGAATTGGCAGATGATTGAGAGATTCACCCACTCCATTCAAATATCACTTCACCCACTCCATTCATATATCACTTTCCATTCATAAAAGCTGTACTACAGCTTCTATGAATGGCAAAGCTGGATGGAAAGAGTTGGGATAGTCAGACATTCTTGATGAGAGCTTGTGACAGCCCCTTAGTTCTATTAACCCCACTAGAAGATGATGGCAGGGGTGGGGAGCATGGATTAAGTAAGAGTAAAAAAAAAACAAATTTTTGTAACTGCTTAACAAGTGTTAGGTGGAGATAAGCTGGCCATACACATTTTTTTTCCTCAGCCAGCCATACAAATGGGTTAGATGTAGGAATACCTCTCGCAGGGACATTGTATTCTGACAGTGGCACCTGCAACTGTCAGAATGAACTGATCAGCTGCTGCAGCTGTTTGACTGCAGACACTGATCAATGGAATATTTTCAAACATGTCCCTGCAATAGAAGCCAAAACAATTGACTTCTGTTGAGCAGGGGAGCCCACACAGCAAAATTTTGCCAGCCAAGCAGGGATTTCAATCAGTTTATGGCCAGCTTTAAGCTTTAATTTGTTGGTCACATACTGTATGTAAAGTCCATCTAAATGTATTAGTCCATCCAACAGTACCCTCTTCATGCAATGCTGCTGTCAAAATGTAACTCCGTTGTTCCTCTGTGGATATACCCTGTTTCCTCAAAAATAATACCTACCCCAAAGATAAGATCTAGTACTAATTAGGGAATTGCTAAAGTATAAGACCTACCCCAAAAATAAGACCTAGTTGTGATCAGGGCTTTTTTTCAGCCAGAACGTGGCAGAACGTTGTTCCGCCACCTCCAGCACTGGCCCTGTGCACACACATATCTACTGTCTCTTATAAACACAGCAGCGTGGCTTTTGTGTTTGTAAGTGACAGCCCCTCTTGTAAGTGACAGCACCATCCACTCCCACAGAACCTCCCTACCTCTGTACTCACTGTGGGACAAGGAAGGAGAGATATCTGCGGGCGCCGTGTGTTTAGGGACAGGGTGGGGCATCTCCCCTTGCAGCCTCATGTATGGAAGCCGATGCCCCAGGGGTGATTTCCGGCCAGTGGGGAAGAGGCGGAGCGGTGAGTGAGTGTGCTTGGTGCACTGTGTGGAAAGATAGGACTCAAAATGGGAATTACTATACAGAGGGACCAGCTGCTAACGGTTATGTTTTGCAAATCTAGCTAACAATATGAGGGCAGTGAAGGGGGAGGGGGGGTGTGCAAAGGTGAGCTGCAGTCAGGTGTTGCAGAGGTAAATTGACAGGTGAAGTGCAGACAGGGTGCATAGGTGAGCTGTGGCGGGGGGGGGGGGGGTGCGGAGGTGAGCTGAGTTGCAACCCACCTCTTCACCCCCTGGCCACAGCTTTCCTCTGCACCCCCTGGCCACAGCTTGCCTTTGCACCCCCCAGTCACAGCTCACCTCTGCATCCCCTGTCCGCAACTCACCCCTGCACCCTGTCTATGGCTCATCTCTGCACCCTCTCTGAAACTCCCCTGCCAATTCACTTCTGTAACACCTGACTGCAGCTCACAACTGTCATCAGCCGGCCCTCTCTATAGTAACCCTCATACACAACTGCCTGCAGCTCACCTCTGCACCCCCTGTCCATACCTGTATATTAAAAAAAACAATTAGACATACCCTGAAAATAAGACCTAGTGTTTTTTTTTGAGCACAAAAAAATATAATATATAATATATATAAATAAGGTAAAAAAAAAAAACAAAACAAAACATAGAAAACAAATGCAGTCACCACATCTAAGGATTGATAAACTGAAAAATATAAAACTTTTGTTTTGGTGTTTAGATACACTTCAAAGTCAATGCCATGTTTACAAAAACAAACAATAACCCGCCAATAACACCATCCCTGCCTTATACGTCAATAATATAGGATAACATAAACCATAATGCACTAGACTCAGTATAGCAGCTAATCAGTGAATTAAAGGATTCAGAATTAAATATTGTTTTGCTAATCTCTTACTAAGTGCTTACTAGGAATCTAGTTTTCAGGGAATTCATCTTGCACTGTAATGTTTTTTAATGAAGTTACAGTTAATAAACAGAGCTATTATTATTTTCAATAGCATTCTCTGTATTTTTCTCATCAGCATATTATGCTGCAGCAACTGATGTATTCCAGCTGAATACACTGATACATATGTTATTCTGGCCCCATTATCCCCCACTGACCAACCTATGCTGGATTGGAGTGTACGAGGCTAGGCTTAACCTGAAGGGGGATCTATCAGAGTGGATCAGCCAGCTGTCCCTGGAAGCGAGAAGAAAGATACTCCGTCATGTGTGAAAATGAAATAATATTGCTACAGATTGTCTAGAGAGGGAATGGAAGGAGAGAGGAGTGGGAGGGTAAAAATAAATGTTTCAAATATAAATTATCAGGGCAGACAGGCTGCAAAAGAAAGAGTCAGAGCTTGTCAACATGTGTTGGAGAAAGTCAAAGAGTGCCAAGTTGTAACCTCGTTAAGAAGCCTAGGCTGCCATTGGGGTTGATCTGTTTAATTTAATTAGGAGGCACTGATCGAGGAAACGTTTTGCATAGAAAGCAGAAAACAAATCATGTAATATGTAAAGTATGCTATTATTTGTCTACCATTAGCACCAGAGACATCAGTCCCCTGATCTCAGTGACAACAAAAGATTGATTAGAATGCAGTCTGTGTCAAGAAAACCAAAGATTTCATCACCACAAATGAAACATCTAAGAAAATTAAAGGGAATACACAATTATTTAGGAGAGCATGAAATGTCTCCTGCTTCAATTTACTTAATCTTAAAGGATCAGTTAACCAACAACTGTTGAATCATTGACCAGTTTTATTTATCTCTGAGAGCCTCTGGAGAGGTCTCTGCTGCTGGATTCTCAGAATTACCATTTTCTGTGGTCATGACAGCGCCTGGAATACGTATGCAGTACGAACACATTTGATTTGTTTTGAATAGTTATTTAAATAATTTTGTTTCATGTAATTTGTTTTTGGAATTAGTTTCATTTTGTTTATTCCTTTTTGAATTTGATTCAAATTCAATTCGACCGAATTCTGAAAATTTGAATCGGCATTCAAATTCAAATTGGCATTCAAATTTATTCTATTTGAAATTTGTATTTGAGATGACGGTTATATTCTTTCTATTTCTGTTCTATTCTTTATTCTATTATTTTCTATTCTCATATGTTCTATTCTTTTCTATTCTATTCTAATCGATTCAAATTTATTCTATTCGAAATTCAAATTTCGGAAGACGGTTATATTCTTTCTATTCTATTGAATTCTATTCTTTTGGGGTTTTTTTCTACTCAATTCTATTCTTTTCCATTCTATTCTAATCTATTCTATCCACATTTGATTTTATTTTATTTGAATTTTGGAAAACAGTTTATATTTTATTTTATTCTATTATATTGTTATTTTCTATTCCATTCTATTATTTTCTATTCTATTCTCTTATATTCTATTCTTTTTTTATTCTATTCTTTTATATTTTATTCTAAACTATTAGAATTCAAATTTATTCTATTCAAAATTCGAATTTCAGAAGACAAGTATATTCTTTCTATTTTATTCTACTCTATTGTTTTTTTCTATTCTATTATTTTCTATTCTCTTATTTTTTATTCTATTCTTTTTATTTTATTCTAATATATTCAAATTCTAATATATTGTGTTTGAAATTTAAATTTCGGAAGGTGGTTATATTCTATTTTAGTCTATTCTATTCTATAGGTTTTTTTTCTATTCTATTTTTGTCTATTCTGTTCTAATCTATTGTGGGCAAATTCAAATTTATTCTATTCAAAATTCGGAAGATAGTTATTTTCTTTCTATTTTATTCTATTGTTTTTCTATTCTTTTCTATTATATTCTTGTACATTCTAATCCATGATATTCTTTTATATTCTTTCTATTTTTTCTACTCTAATCTTTTATTGTTTATTCTATTATTTTATGTTCTATTCTAATTTATTATATTCTTTTATGTTATATTCTATTCTTTTCATTTTTAAATTTGATTTGAATTTGATTTGAATCAAATTTGATTAGAATTCGATTTGAATATTTGTCTGAATTTTACCCAAATTTCATTTAAATTCGCTACTTTTGTAATTCAGAAATGTGGATGTATAATGAAAACTTCTTCCGAATTTTGATTTGGAACTAAAATAATTGCACATGTCTAATGCCTGGTACGTTGTTCAGTAATATTTAGCTAAGGTGGTTGCAACAGAAGAGTGACTCCAAAGCTTGGGGAGTGGCAGTGGTGGGTGGATGAGGGATTGGAGCAGGATCTTCTGAATGGAAAATCCTTAAAAAATGAGATACCAGTGGATGACTGAACCCAACAGCATCTAAAATTGTATATACTGTATATATATATATATATATATATATATATATATATATATATACATATATATATATGTGTGTGTGTGTGATTTTGCAGTTCTGGGTAGGGGGGGCAGCCTCGGCTGTCAATCACTGGGTCCTGGATGGTAATTTCCCGCTGGCACCCAGAGATCACTGTGTATCAGCTCCCCTGTCAGCTCCTGCACATTGCTTTGTATGGCTCTGCATAGCAGAGCCATGCAAAGCAGTGTGCTTACAGTGTACAGCACACACACACAGCACACAGTAAAACAGCACACAGTTAACCCTTTGATTGCCCCATATGTTAATCCTTCATGCCCAGTGTCATTAGTACAGTGTCAGTGCTTTTTATTAACGCTGATCACTGTACTGATGTCACTGGGGATGTCAGTGACACCAAGCAAGTTTCCCTCAGTGTTACAATGCCTGCTGCAGTCCCGATATAAGTTGCTGATCACCACCATTACTAGTAAAAATTCCAGTATATATACCGCCATTTGTACTTTCACATAAACCAATTTATTTACATGTATTGGATTTTTTCTTAGCAAAGACATATAGCAGAATACATTTTGGCCTAAATTTATGACAAAATTTGATGTTTAATAGCAAAAAGTTAAAAATATAGTTGTTTTTTTTTTCTCAAAATTGTCGGCCTTTTATTGTTTATAGAGCAAAAAAAAATCAGAGGCAATCAAATACCACCTAAAGAAAGCTCCATTTGTGGGGAAAAAAGGACATAAATTTAATTTGGGCGTAGCGTTGCATGATCACGCAATTGTCAGTTAAAGTAACGCAGTGCCATATTGCAAAACATGGCCTGGTCAGGAAGGGGGGTAAATCCTCTGGAGGCAAGTGGTTAAAGTAGATGTAAACTAAGGCAGGCCAAAGATGATGCAATTTTCTTTCCTGGAACTACGGGTCAGTGTTCATGGAGGAAACCCTCCCATAGAGCTACTGTGTTCTCCCAGAAGAGGGGTGTGGGGAGCCATCTCTGCTGGGAGAATACAATGATTATTGCTAGCGGCTACAAAATCACATGCTAAAAATCTGACATGCTGGTTGTATCCAAGTCAATCGATGAATCAACTTTGGCACAGTCAGTCTGCCCATAGATCAAAGAAATAGTGCAGCGCTTAAATCAATAGTCCTCAGTTATTCCCGATCAGTGGATGTTCCTCAATACGGAATGTAAGAAATGCCCACTCACCGGAACCACACTTGATACAGTGCAGTGTATAATAGTTATTCCCTGGTGTCACTGGAAGTATACATCTGGTTCAGCCCTTGGAAGAGTATCCCTCTTTAGATCAGACAGGTCCAGGGTCACAGCAAATAAGGCTCCGACACAGAGTTCCCCTTAAGGGATGTGTGGGTGTTACTTTTGCAGCAAATAGAAACCTCCCACTCTGGATGGAATCAGAGTAACACAGCTTCTGAAAAAAAGGGGGTTCTCCCCATGCGGGGTCAAAGCAAAAAGATGCCCATGGTGTGATAACGTTTGGATAAAGCAAATTTTATTTGAAAGGACAAAGGATGCATCCAGTAAATGGCAATAGGAACGGCTGAAGACAGTTCGGCTCTCCCTCTGATGATGTGCGTGGCACGTAACGCGTAAGGAGGAGCCTGCTCGCGCCGTTGACGTCACGCCGTCGGAGCATCGTGGAGCTCCGGCGGCCATTTCCTTCTAGGGACGGTTAGTGCTTTACTGTCTTCTGCCGTTCCTATTGCCATTTACTGGATGCATCCTTTGTCCTTTCAAATAAAATTTGCTTTATCCAAACGTTATCACACCATGGGCATCTTTTTGCTTTGACCCCGCATGGGGAGAACCCCCTTTTTTTCAGAAGCTGTGTTACTCTGATTACATCCAGAGTGGGAGGTTTCTATTTGCTGCAAAAGTAACACCCACACATCCCTTAAGGGGAACTCTGTGTCGGAGCCTTATTTGCTGTGACCCTGGACCTGTCTGATCTAAAGAGGGATACTCTTCCAAGGGCTGAACCAGATGTATACTTCCAGTGACACCAGGGAATAACTATTATACACTGCACTGTATCAAGTGTGGTTCCGGTGAGTGGGCATTTCTTACATTCCGTATTGAGGAACATCCACTGATCGGGAATAACTGAGGACTATTGATTTAAGCGCTGCACTATTTCTTTGATATTATTTATTGAGGTTTTACTGGTTGCCTTGAGTGTACAGCTGCTGAACTGATTAGTGCTCACTTTTTTACTTTGTCTGCCCATAGATCAATTGAATCTCGGCCGGTTCAGCAGGGACTTGCCAAGATTCAAACCATCTGTAGCTGGCTTTAAACCTCATATAAGCTTTAAAGTGGATGTAAACCTCAGTCATGAAATCTGAACAGCGCACAGATATCTGTAGTGTTTACTTTCTCTCTCCAAAGCTTTAAGTGTTCCTGGTTCCTCTGTTTATCAGCATGTGTCACTTCTGAGAAGTGTTCCCGACATATGAGATAAATGTGTGTTGTGGGGGGAGCTCAGCAGACAGCTTGTCTATTCACAGCATAGCTCCTGTGTGCTGTGTGGAGGGGGGGTGTATCCCTTTCCTTCAATCAGCTCTCACAGAGCTCCAACTGCAGCTCCCTGCTCCCACCTCTGTGATACTGAGAAATGCAGAAGGATTTTACCTAAAATCAGCATTTTTAACCACTTGCCTACTGGGCACTTATACCCCCTTCCTGCCCAGGCCAATTTTCAGCTTTCAGCGCTGTCACACTTTGAATGACAATTGTGTGGTCATGCAACACTGTACCCATATGAAATCTTTATAATTTTTTTCACACAAATATAGCATTCTTTTGGTGGTATTTAATCACCACTGAGTGTTTTATTTTTTGCGCTATAAAGAAAAAAAAATAGCAAAATATTTGAAAAAAAATGTTTTTCTTTGTTTCTATTATAAAATCTTGCAAACAGGTAATTTTTCTCCTTCAACTGATGTGCGTTGATGAGACTGCACTGATAGGCACTGATAAGCACTGATAGGCAGCAGTAATGGGCATTGATTGGCAGCACTGATGGGCACTGATGAGGTGGCATGGATAGGCAGCACTGATGGGCACTGATAGGAGGCACTGATAAGCGGCATTGATGAGCTGGCACTGATGATGCTGCACTGATAGCCAGCACTGATGGGTGGCACTTCTGGGCGGCACTGGTGGGTTGCACTGCTGGGCACAGGTGGGTGGCACTGCTGGTTAGCACTGATGGACACAGTTGGGCAGCACTGTTGGGCACAGGTGGGTGACACTGCTGGGCACTGATCATCAGGACCTGGTGATCAGTGCCGATCACTTCTCTGACAAGTGCCGGTTATCGGCAGTACTTTCCTGCAGCCGATAACCGGCAACTGCATTTACCAGTGATCTACTGTGTCATTGGACACAGCTGATCATGTGGTAAAAGGCAGCTGTGATTGGCCGTTTACCTATCCCGTGATCAGCTGTGTTCGTAGGACACATCGATTACCAACGGTGCGCAGCTGGGGGCACGCAGGGAGCGTGTTCTGGAATGAAATACATGGACGTCATCCCAGAACCAGACAACTGCGCTGTAGCCGTCCTTCGGCTATAGCGCGGTAAGGAACTGGTTAAAGGGATGTTCAAAGACTGCAAATAAACAAGTAGGAGGATTTGTTTAATCTGAGGCCAGTCACTTTACTGGGTGTATGAAAGGGTTTACAAAAAAAAAAGTTATTTGTTAAAATTTTTAAACCTGCGGCTTTCTTTAACCTCCTCGGCGGTATGATTATTTCCGATTTTTTGTGCTCAAAGCGGTACCATTTTTTTGCATGAAAATATGCAGTTTTTTATTGTAGGCTGTAATTTTTAGGAATAACTCACTGAAATCTGTACGAACAAGAGTCTATTAAACATCCCGGGTAGGATAAAATTTGAAACACAAAATCATAAATTATAATTTAATAAATAATCATAAAAAATAATAATATAGTAATTAATAAATTTAATTCAATAATGTAATCAAACCAAAAAACACTGAAATTTGAAATACAGAGGCAAATTCGCACATCGCTGAGCAAAGTCGCAAAATCGTTTTCAGTGTCTGATGACAAATTTCCCCACGAATCATTATCACTCAATTCTGCAAGTGGTTCTGATTTACTATCACTGTTCTCTAGCTGGTCTAAACCCGCTTTTGACGTAAAGGGGCGCTTTTTGGATGCCGTGGACTTTTCTAAGTTTCCAGGCAGAAAGAACAGTAAAAATGCAGGCAGGGCACAGGACAAAGCACTAGGGACAAAATATATGTGAAATGCATTGAAACAGCAATGTTTTACTATGTAATAATCATTTTTAAAAAAAATGAAATTTTTAAAAAATTTTAAATTTGCCGCCGTTTCCGGCGCCCGTACGTCCCGGCCTCACAGGGACCGGAACACGGAAGCCGGATGCCGGCATCGGCCCGAGGAGATGGCCGAGGATGCTGCAGGGGACACATTGTGGGAGCGAAGGACAAGGTAAGTGCTGCAGGGAATCCCTGAGCAACGCCGCATGGTAAGCCCGAGTGTAGCTCGGGGTTACCGCTCTTGGTACTCAAATTTTACCCCGAGCTACATTCAGGAAAACCGCTAAGGAGGTTAAAATCATATCTGGTTGTCCGGCCATGAAGGGCCTTAGCTATGGCACTTCCAGTTCCTGTCCCTGTCTCCCAGTTGTTTTCCTGTGTCATCTCCCTCATATAATTTCTCAGTGGAGACTACAAGCAGCCAAGCTAACACACATTCAACAGCTATGTTCTACTGTTGTCATCATTAGGAGCAAAAGGCATTCAGCCATGTTGAAGTATTTGTATCAGAACAGGAAGTAGCTGAAAACAGACTGCAGGAGATAGTAAGTGCTAATATGCAACAAAGTTTGAAAACATGTGAAAGTAAATATTTTAACAAAGTAAAAACATGTTAATTGCTTATGATACATGGTGCGCTTTAACAAAGCAAATTACATTCAGTTAAGGTTTCCATGTATTTTAATTCCCCCTCAGTAACTAGATTATTTCCACACAGTTTAAGTCCTCTGACTTTGTGATTTGCCTCATTACCGGATAAATGCCTGTCAAATCACATCAATCTTTCTTTTTTACCTAAAGACTATTGACTATCCCGTCTTTTAGCCCCCAATTCCTTGTTAACATATAGCCAAAAAAAATCATACCTCCTATACAGACACACTGCCTGGTCTGCCCAAGTGGAAATGTTACTGCTTTTTGCCAATTGAACCTGGTGTGACAGTATTGAAGACTGGGTGGGGAGAAGGGGGATTCATAAGCAGGGATGGACTGTCAGTCCACTTGTCAAGTCATGGGGCCCCCGGGCAATAGTGGATCATGGGGCCCCTGTGTCCTCTCCCACACTCAAACCACACCCAAAAAAAGCCTATGAAAGGTACTAGGGGCATCTCATGGGGCCCCCTACTGGGCCAGGGCCCTCGGGCAGTGCCCAAGTTCCCAAATGGTCAGTCCGCCCCTGTTCATAAGGATCACTGTGCAAGTCAGCAACAATTAAAATGTTATGTCTGTGATATAAAAAATATATACTGTAGATATGTGTGTTGCAATATAGTAACAATGCAATTAGCTGCTTGCGCGAAATGGTGCAAACTCAAAATTAAATATAAAGGTGCTGTACTTATAACAAAATCTAATATCTTTAATATGATATAAAACCTTAACCTCCCTAGTGGTATGATTATTTCAGATTTTTGGTGCTGAAAGCGGTACCATTATTTTGCATGGAAATATGTAGTTTTTTTATTGTAGGCTGTAATATTTAGGAATAACTCACTGAAATCTGTCCGAACAAGAGTCTATTAAACATCCCGAGTATGAAATTTGAAATATAGCGCCAAGTTCGCACATCGCTGAGCAAAGTCGCAAAATTGTTTTCAGTGTCTGATGACGAATTTCTCCACGAATCATTTTCACTCAAGTCTGCAAGTGGTTCTGATTTACTATCGCTGTTCTCTAGGTGGTCTAAACCGCTTTTGACCTAAAGGGACGCTTTTTGGACACCATGGACTTTTCTAAGTTTCCAGGCAGAAAGAACAATCAAAATGCAGACAGGGGACAGGACAAAGCACTAGGGACAAAATGTATGTGAAATGGGTTGAAACAGCAATGTTTTACTATGTAAAATCGTTTTGAAATAAATGACTCTTTTTTTAAATTTTCAAATTTCCTCCAGCGCCGGCGCCGTACGTCCCGACGTCATAGGGACCGGAACACAGGAGCCGGATGTCGGCATCAGCCGGAGGAGACGGCCGGGGACGCTGCAGGGGACACATCGCGGGAGTGAAGGACAAGGTAAGTGCTGCAGGGACTCCCTATGCAGCGCTGCATGGTAAGCCCGAGTGGGGTTAGCTCGGACGTTTTTACCCCGCTTTTAGGGGTATTGTGAAAACAATGTAATAATGTGATCAAAATTCACAAATACAGAAAATACCAATATTTTCAAATAAAAGTTTCAATGTTGCAAAACAAACATCAATGATCACTGACCTCAACAATTGAATGCATACAGATGTGCTCAAAGTTCATGATAAAGATGTGTTCAAAGTCAATAGAAACACAATTAAATCCTGAACCAGTGTTGAAAATGCAAAAACATGCTGTGAATATGTGTAGTTAAAGTGTTACTAAACTCATAACTGTAAAATCAGTCTGCATATGCAGTAAAGGATACTTGTTATACTCACTGTGGAACCTAAGGGGATAATCCTCTGCATTGTGTAAAAAGGCTGTTTGATCCTGTCTTCTCTGATCCTACCCTTATTCTTCTGCCCCAATCCATCTGCTGATAGAACAGGACTTTGGGGAAAGCTACACATGCTCAGTTTGGTATGTATTGCTGGAGAGTTTTTTTTTTTCCTTGGAGACAAGATTATATCTTTTCTAGAGATGAGCGAATCGAACCTGGCGAAGTGGAATTCGTTTCGAATTTTAGGAAAAATTCGATTCGCATCGAATCCGAATATTAGCAAACTTCGGATGCGCGAATCGAATTTTTCCCGATCGGCCGATTTTCATCCCTTTTACAGCCGGCAAAAAGTGTCCCTGCAGAGAGCTCCGCTATTTCTGACAGTTCTCTGACAGTTCCTTCACATTTACAGCGGTTGAAACATTGTATCTATTTGTTTCCATTTAGGATACAGATGTTTTTATTCGGAAACAAATAGATACAATGTTTCAACCGCTGTAAATGTGAAGGAACTGTCAGAGAACTGTCAGAAATAGCGGAGCTCTCTGCAGATACACTTTTTGCTGGAATGGAATTCTTCTTCATCCTCATCCTCTTCTACTTCTTCTTCTTCATCCTCATCCTACTTCTTCTTCTTCTTCTTCTTCTTCTTCTTCATCCTCATCCTTCTTCTTCTTCTTCTTCTTCATCCTCATCCTACTTCTTCTTCTTCTTCATCCTCATCCTACTTCTTCTTCTCTTCTTCTTCTTCTTCTTCTTCATCCTCATTCTTCTTCTTTCTTCTTCTTCTTCATCCTCATCCTACTTCTTCTTCTTCTTCTTCTTCATTCTCATCCTCATCCTTCTTCTTCTTCTTCTTCTTCATCCTCATCCTACTTCTTCTTCTTTTCTTCTTCTTCATCCCTCATCCTACTTCTCTTCTTCTTCTTCTTCTTCATCCTCATCCTACTTCTTCTTCTTCTTCTACTTCTTCTCTTCTTCTTCTTCTTCCTCATCCTACTTCTTCTTCTTCTTCTTCTTCTTCTTCTCATTCTTCTTCTTCTTCTCATTCTTCTTCTTCTTTTCATTCTTCTTCTTTTCATTCTTCTTCTTCTTCTTTTCATTCTTCTTCTTCTTCTTTTCATTCTACTTTTCATTCTTCTTCTTCTTCTTTTCATTCTTCTTCCTTCTTTTCATTCTTCTTCTTTTCATTCTTCTTTTCATTCTTCTTCTTCTTCTTTTCATTCTTCTTCTTTTCTTCTTTTCATTCTTCTTTTTTTTCATTCTTTTTTTTCATTCTTCTTCTTTTCTTTTCATTCTTCTTCTTCTTCTTCTTCTTCATCTTCTTCTTCTTCTTCTTTTCATTCTTCTTTTCTTTTCTTCTTCTTCTTCTTTTCATTCTTCTTTTCTTCTTCTTTTCATTCTTCTTTTCATTCTTCTTCTTTTCATTCTTCTTCTTTTCATTCTTCTTCTTTTCATTCTTCTTCTTCTTCTTTTCATTCTTCTTCTTTCTTCTTCTTCTTCTTCTTCTTCTCATCTTCTTCTCATTCTTCTTTTCATTCTTCTTCTTCTTCTTTTCATTCTTCTTCTTCTTCTTTTCATTCTTCTTTTCATTCTTCTTCTTCTTTTCATTTTTCTTTTCATTCTTCTTCTTCTTCTTT